ATAAAATCCAAATTTTCGTTGCGAAACCATTTTCCCTGAAAGTTCTAGAAATGCAAAGTGTACGATGTACGGCGCAATAGTCTATAAGTACGTACCATTTTGCACTTTTTTTCAGGCCCGACGGGTCGGTTCCCAAGCGGGAGGTAAATCTATGACACTCAACTTCGCATTTTTTTGAATTTTACAATTTTCCCACTTCTTTAAATCGCTTCAGGACCATTGAAATTCAAAAAAATTGAAATCTTGAAATTATTTTTCATTATTTCAACTTACTTTTTTCATTTTTTCCAACTTTCATTTCAATGTCAGCCAGCCAATCACTGTTCAGAGTTCATGGATTCTTGATCATTAGTAGATTTGTAGTTTGTGCCTTTCTCACTCATCTCTTCGTTCTTATTCGCAAACTCATTGATTGAATTGACTTCGACGGTTTTCTTCAGTTTTTGTTTTGTTTTTTATTTTGTTCGTTGTTGAGTTTTGAGATCTTCGTTTTCTTTCCCATACTGATAGATGACGTGAGGCTTTGATAGTTGTTGAAGGAGTTTCTACCGACTTTCCCTTCCATAACCGCCGTGTTCCTTCTGTGATTACCTTTGTGATTACCCTAGCATACCTAGATGATTGTAGAATGAGATTGCTTAGATGATACGGAAGGAGGTTTTTGATTGATTGGGAGGGAGAACCCTGGTTATCCTATTGACCGTTGTTTCACTTTTACTCTAAACCAATCTCTTTGTATGAACTGTTAGTGGAATCGACCTGTTGACCCCAGGCACTAGCCCTTCAATATATTAGTTCCCAACGCTATATCCACCTTTCTGCGTCTTGATATGTTCAAGAGACTTCGTTCCCTCGTGTTGTTAAGGGAGGTTCTAGAAAGTTAGCACAGATGTATGTCGCAGGAGAGTTGCAGTATCTGTTAGTTCGAAAGAGTGAGTTAAATCGATAAGGTCTTGTATGTGAGATAGTTGAGTAAGATGGAACATCAGCCCATCCTTTAGCCCGATCGTTCTCCATCTGTGTCTTTTTCTCAGTAACGTCTACGGGAATACCCAATAAGCGTATTTTTCCATTTGATATCTGTAGAGCATCTTTCCGAGAAACTGCGAATAGCCTCTTCGGCAGCTTTTCTATTTCGATTTACTTCCATGTTCCTTTTGGTTTGAGCAAACCCCCAAGCCCATGTTCGAGATTTGATAGTGTGAGAGACGTTTTCGGTGAAATGGCAGTTCTGATTAAAATCATAAAAGGGTGTTGAAGTGAGAAGGGGGAAGTGAGCGAA